TAATTCAGTTTCTCTTGTGAAATACTTTGAGACTTTGACACATTCCAGTCGCATTGACTTCATCGTGATTTTTATGAAGCCCACACCTTCGCCCTGCTGGCGAATTTCGATGCACTGTTCTTTCTGCAATGTGTTGAACAAGATTTCACGCCTGAATTTTTGTGAGCAGTGCTGTTTCGGCCCACATACCATATCTACGGAATGACGCATGTATCCGTTCTGGCATGCAGCAGCTGGCTGGATCATGCACAAAGACAGGACGCACGCCACAGCCATAAGACGACCGCTAAGTGGTATGGGTGAAAACGAATCGAGCGTAAAAACGTTCTGTTGTGGTCTTGGTGTAGCTGGTGTTGCTTTTCGCCATTCCGACCGTCTCATTCTGCTTACGATCCAAAATGTAAGCATTGCTAGCGCAATAATCAGGTAAACGATTATTCCAACGCTCATTATTGCTCCGACCGGCCAACAGTGTGGATTTCCGATCAATGATGTGCTCAACAATCTGCCAGCGTAATCACAGAACGATGGCGGGGTACAGGAGGTCTTAACCAGTATCGATTCATTTCTAATCGAGAATTCCATACTGACACTTACACTTTCATCGTATGGAGAGGGAGGCAGCTTAAACTGGATAGTTTTCTGCGCGTCAGCCATAAAAGCTTGACAATCATGATCGAAGCATAATTTAAACGAGGTTTCAGGTGTCCAAACTTTTACCGCTCCATCTACACATTCGATATTGGTGTGTAGCTGGCTCGTGACCTTGTTACTCAGAGTACACATAATAAGAAGTGTTCTAACGAGTGTCCGTACACCAATTGTAGGAAAATTGTAACTTTGGCGAGATAGGCTCGCCTGTGGAGGCGATGCAGTTACGAAGTTTGAGTATCCGTGTTGCTGACTTTGGCTGAACTGATCATCATCTTCAGCGCTGTCTCCTGAAGTTTTCAGGCGTTGTAAAGCTCTCAGTTTAGACTGACGTGCAGGTCTTTGTTTTGTTTCCTGCTGCGGTTCACCGACTGGAGGTGTTAGAAGTAATTCGTTTTGATCTTGTGAGACCGCACTTCTAATTTCTAGAGGATAAACCTTATTCATGGGACGATGCAGTACTTTCCCATTCGGGATCATAATTTTCAATGATCGTAGACCGCCATCTGCGCTTTCAATGAGGGCAATGATCTTGCCGTAACACCAGCTTCCTCTTGGTAACATTTCTTGCTCAATTAAGACAATCTCACCGATTTCTGGTTTGGCTCTAGCGATATGCCGCGGCTGCTTGAGTATACTTTTTTGTATCTCTCTCAAAGCTGTTAGATATTCGGAGCTCCACCGCTCCCAAAATTTATTGGCAATTTGTGAAGAGTACTCCAATGCTTCACAGGCTTGCTTTGTGGTTTGTATCAAATCAGGATCATAGCTAAGATCGTCGCCGCAATTAGTACCTGCTGTGTCTGGTAATGAATACTTGATGTTCCCCTGCAGGAAATCAATAGGACGCAAGGGAATGTCTTCCAAACACGATGTGCTGAGTTTTGTTAGTGGTCTAGTGTTGATGACCGCTTCTATTTGACTAGTAACCGTACAAAACTCTACAAAACTGAGTCTTTTTCTGCCAATTGACTTTTGCATGGATTTTTTCACGGAACCGACCAGCCGTTCCCAAGCTCCACCCATCCATGGGCTGGCTGGCGGGTTGAACAACCATTTAACGCCGTTGGTAGAGCTGTACGACATTACTGAGCTGCCGGAGGACTCATCTGTACGGAATAGCTCCTCAATTACTCGTGACCCGAGCTTGAAATTTGTGCCGCAATCAGTGCGCATAACTTGCGGAACACCTCTTCTTGATATGAAGCGTATGAAACTGCTCAGAAAGGCGCCTGTCGAGAGGCTGTCAACAACCTCGAGGTGAACTGCTCTTGTAGTTAGACACGTGTACAGGCAGATGTACGTATTTTCTCCATTCTTGGATAAAAACGGACCCATAAAGTCACAACCGCAATTAAGAAATGGTTTTGATATCTGCACTCTATCTTGCGGTAATGAAGGCATTGCTGGTGCACCGAATGGTAAACCCTGCCAGCGCTTACAGACCGCGCAATTCTTCAAGTAAGTACGGAATGCACCAGACGGCTTTGGTATCCAAAAGCGTTCTCGCGCTATCGCAAGCGTGTGATCTTTTCCGCAATGGTAATTCTTCCTATGTATGTCTTCCAAAACGAGTCTAGTAAATTCGCCTCTGTTTGGTAAGAACATTGGGGATTTTGAATCAAGAGGGATGTTAGCAAGTTGTAATCTTGACAAGTGACGAATCACACCATCTTTATCCCTTATTAGGCGTTTGTCACAGTACGTTTTCTGAAGTTCGTTGAGATCGAAATTTTCATGTATCTGAGAAATCAGAAGTGTTCGAGCGGCGGACATATCCTGCTCTGTGACATGTGTACACGAGTCAAATTGAGGGAGCATTTTCCCACTCATATTGGTACCTTTTCTTTTATCAACGCCTGTTGCCAAATTGCGAAGGTACTTCGCAACTCGGACGACTGTCCTCAAGGCAATGTCGAGTTTGGAGAAACGCGACAGGTCAACTACGGAGTCCGTAGGTAATATTGATTTTTCGATTGCGACGGTTTCTACACTTGGTTCTTGGAAAGATTCTTCGAAGTTGTCTACTTCAATTTCGTCCATGAATCTCAAATTTTGCAACAACTGTTCGTCATTGAGCCATTGCGGTCCCCGGACCCAATCATGGCTAACAATCTCGGTTGCTGTGAGTCCTCTAGTGCCAGCGTCAGCTGGATTGAAAAATGTTGCAACATGCATAAATCGTACCACGATGTCTTGCTTTTCAAACTGACTCTTGAGTTTGAGTATTTTATCTCGTTGATTAGCAACGAAAATGGGAGTTCGATGTTGTGTTTTAATCCAACACAAAGCTATTTCGCTATCGCTGACGATATTTATAGATTTTATGCCTTTATTGACAGCTTGCACTACGCTGCTACCTAGTCGTAATGCTAGTAGAATAGCAAGTAACTCTAAGCGAGGTATGGTCTGATGTGAGCTTTTTGGTGTAAGCTTCGTTTTCCCACTAATGAGCTGACTAAGAGCTTTGTTTTTCATGTTTTGAATGTAGGCGCAAGTTGCCATTGACGATTTGCTGGCATCTGCAAATAGCCATAGGCAAAGATTCGCACATGCGTCATTTGTGGAAATAATCAAACGCGGGATCTCTATCAGAGCTCCATCTATCTTGGCACTTTGTTCATTCCATTTCTTAGCCAACTGGATGGGCACACGGTCGGACCAGCCGAGTGCACCGTTAAATGCATCCCGCATAAGTGACTTCATTCCTACTACCAGTGGACCGGCTATGCCAAGTGGATCATACAAAGAATTGATGGTGCTAACAATCTCGCGTTTAGTTAAATGATTTTTGCATGGAAAGTGTGCAGGGACCGAAAAACGGTCGTTCACAGTGTCATAACTCACTCCAAGCAATTTAATTTTCCCTGCTGGTTGTCGGTCATGGGTGGGAATTGCTTGGTTCACAATGTCTGAGTTGGATACATATTCGCGTAGGTTCATACCAATTTGTGAAAAAATGTTCTTGGAAAGCGCGTACTTTTCCAACGCTTCCTTTTCAGTTTCTGCCAATAACAGTATGTTGTCAACGTAGATGTTGCGTGCAATTTCAGATGCAATTACTGATTCAAGAGATTCCAAGTACGCTGAGATTGCCATATTTAAAATGCTTGGAGAGGCAGTTACTCCGAATGGAATCCTAGTAAAACGATATTCTATAATATTCGTTTTGGATGGTGGCTGCTTAGGATCCTTGAGCCATAGAAACCTGCACAAGTCTTTATGGGATGTGCAAAGGCGTATCTGTGTGAATGCTGCCTCGATATCGCAAAGTAAAATGTATTTACTTGTTCGAGATGCGAGCAGTATGTCGTGAATCTTATTTACAAAAGATTCTCCTTTGTGGATTACGTCGTTTAAAGAAAGCTCGCCTCTCTTTTTTGAAGAAGCATCAAAAACAATTCGCAGCGGTTTTTGTTTTTCTGGGCGCCAAACGCCAGTATGCGGCATATAATACTTGCCAACAGCACCATCTTCTGGTTCGTAAATCCTCTCGATTACGTTCTGGTGCTCGTAATCTGTGAGTGTTCTGCTATACCACTCCATCTGTTCGCCATTGGCGTGTAAGTTCCTTTGGAGAGCCGCCAATCTCTTGATTGCGACCCCGTAGTTATCGCTGAGTTCAGCGATATTGTCCTTGAGTGGAAACGGCGCTGTGATATAGTTGCCGTCGAACGTGATCGTTTTCGAGTACTCCCTGAAGTACTTCAAAGTACCCTGATCTTTGTCACTTTCAAGAGAAGTGATGCCAATGTTTTCTAGCTCGAAAAGTTTTTGAATGTTATCGCTGTCTGAACATTCGCATACTGCAGACATGGAATGGACCAGTGTGGTCGTGTTATTGCTATCATCAATATGGCCACGACCGTAAACAGTAGGGCCGAACACTGTTTTGGCTACATGCAGACCTGACGGAGTAGTAGTAGCGGTTGTGTTCGAAATAATGAAATCATAGTAGCGATCAAGGCCGACTAGGATATGAGGAATCTGACGTTCTCCTCTGATTTTTGAATTTGCTATGCATAATTCACTCTTTTGTAAGAAATCGCGATCACTTTCTGTGAGTTTGACGGATGGGAACCCGCCAGTTATGATTGGCTTTGTTTGTATGGTCATGTCTATTTCTCTGCCATACGCTGTGCCAACTTTAAGGGCTACTAAGTGGCTTTCAAACTTTTCCGTATGTCCACCGATACCTGACATAATGCAAGTCTCGGAAGTAATGCGTGGCAATCCGAGTTTTTCCGAGAGAGCCTCTTCAATTACCGTTTTTTGAGCTCCAGTGTCGAAAAAGAACAAAGCTTTTTCAAAACTATGTGCTTTGTGGTTCCACACATTCCCTTCAGCGGTCATGAGAACGAGCTGCTCGCTTTTCCTATGAGCAGATGACATGCAGTTTTCATTTTGGATGTTCTGGTTTGAAGCAAACGGTTGATTAGCGCTTTGCTGCTGGCGTCGTATATCATTCCCAGAATATGCTTGCCTGTTAGCGGGTTGTGTATTCCTAACAGGAAATCTGTTGTTGAAACGATCTTGGGTGGTTTCATTTTTCGACCACTTCGATGCGTGCGGCTGGTTCGACGCGGAGGGACCCGGATGTCCCGAAGAAAGGCAGACGGACGCATGATGCGCGCGTCCGCATCTAGAACAATCCGCAGCTTTGCAGCTGCTGCTGGAATGTGAGTTTTGAAAACATTTCCAACATCGTCGCTGCTGTTTGAGAATGTCCCGGCGTTTTTGCCGGTCGACAATGGACCTGCACAAAGCGGCTTGGTGATTCGACTTGCCGCAGAAAATGCAGTCACCTGGTAAGTTTGGGCGACGATCTTGTGAATGTGACCCGTTTGGATCAATACTGGTAGTACCGAGGCGTAGCTCCACATACGCCTTGGCTGAAATCTCCCTGTCCAAGGCTTCTAACAAGTCCTCAACTTTCAATGTATCGGTCGCCTGATTCTTCACCAGTATGTCCTTGACAATTTCATACGGAAATTTTTTGAGAATAGTCTCCGTCCACATGGGGTCACACATAGGGCGGATGTCGTAGCCCGCGGACACCATCTGATTGACGAGTGTTTGTATGGAGTCGAAACACTCCTGGCAGCTCTCCGCCTTTTTATTTGCGGACCTGAGCTCGAACAGTTTTTGCACAATTTTGGACCTGTTCGTAGTTTTATTACCAAAGCGCTTCGTTACAGTATCGACCATCCAGTCGTAATTGGCTGGAACAGGCTTGATGCCTCGGATGGCTTTCTCAGCTGCTCCTTTCAAACTTTCTTTGAGATGTACAATTTTTTTCGACTGTAGATAACTCGTCATTTTCATGTATGAGCGTCTCAAAGACGGCCCAATACTCTGGAAATTCTTCCTGGCGACCACTAAATGTCGGTAATGTAATTGATGGCGCTTTAATAGTACGTGTTTTCCTTACTGGCACTGTTTGCGTGTTAGCAGACTCATTGCTGATCGTACTAGACTCTCCTGATTCGTCTTCCTGAACGTTTTGACTGGAAGACTCACTTGCCACGTCTTCCTGAACATTTTGACCGGAAGGCTCTACGTGGACAGGGATTTTCAGTTTATATTGCACCTGTTGTAATTTTATTTTTGCGTCTGCGATCTGAGTTCTAACCCTGAGCGCGAAATTGGCGGACTCGTTAAGAATTTTGGAATATTCCGATTCTTTTTCAAACTCTTCAATCTCCGCAATCCATTCTTTTTGCTCAGTTTTGGATTTGATACCCATGAAAACTTGTTCCATATTGTCAACTTTGCTCTCGAGCGTTTCCGTATACTCTTTTACCTCGTCTAGGCACTCAGCTAGTGATATCAAGTTTGCTGCGCATTTATCATGCCGTTCCTGATCGTCCTCTGGGTAGTCGACCTTTTTTCCGTGTCCATTAGCTTCGTACGTTTTGAGAAGCTCTGACAGTCTGGACGAACTGGTACGGATGGCTTTTTTGTGAAAATATAGAGACATGTTTGATTATTTGGCTCTAACACAAAAATTTCCGTGGTGGCTCCGTGGCTTTCAGTGCCTTAGGCGGAAGTAGCGCCTTTGGTGGAGCAGTGTAGCTGCTGGTAGACAAGGTAGTTCAGCAGCTTTATTGAGTCAGTCAACATGCCCGCATGAGTGCAATGGTAGAATGCTGAGGATTGAAGGCGTGGTAATGTAGTATCACAAACATCTGGGCGATAACACACTCATATCACAGCAGGTCATGCTTATGGCATGACCTTCACGATGCTTAGCAGGAGTGATGATATGGTTATAAGGAAGGTGCCGACAAGTCGGCACACTCCGGCCAGCGGGAGAAGTAAATGAGAAACAGCGAATGAGCAGCACATAAACATACACAATTAATGTAAGCAAATGTATAGATCTAGTACTTATCAGGATACCGTAGTGGGCGTCCTTGAGGAGCTAGGCAAATGAAGTCAGAGTCCAGGTTGATGTAGTGACAGCTGGCATGAGATGGTGAACAGGTAAGCGGAGAGGCAGAATATCGCAGATGGTCATGTCGAGCATTTGTGAGCGACGAAAATACAGAGTAAGGATCGTGAGTTGGAATCTTCTTACTGTTTGTGGGTTGTCGCTTTACAGTCCTGTCTCTTCGGAAAACATCATTATCTTTGGATCGAGGCTCTTCAGTTGTGGTGACTTGCGGGGTCAGATTATCCTCTGTTGCTGGTATGTTGCCATTCATGGCATCTCCGCGGGCCACAGTTGTGCAGTCTTCAGAATGAGGACTGAGGCGATCTTCACCGTGGTCTTCTTCCATCGTCGCGGAATCCATCATGATTGTTAGAGCGTCCGTCTCCCTTTCCGCATCACGTAAAAAATTGTTGAACATGCTGGATTGCTGTTCTTTAACTACTTGACTTGATGCGAAATTCTTGTATGTTTTTGCGTATACTATCTGATATTCCACAGCAATAGTAAAAATATTAGCATCTGAAAGCAACTGGTGAAAGTCAAGCTCTTTTTCAAGCTCTTCTAGCTGGAGTATGACATTTTTTCTCTCGCTTTTAGACTGCCTGAGATAAAATTCTCCAAACTGGTCAACTATTGAGTCCAAAACTGTCGTTCTTGCTTTAACTTGTGAAAGGCAAGAAAGGAGATTATCGGAGATTATCTAAGTTTTCGAAACATTTCTTTTGAAGCTCTCTATCAATTTCTAAAGTAAACTTGAGCTTGAAATTACAGGAGTCAAATTTTTTGAGCAGGTTTGTTAGTGCTCTTGAGTGAAATGAGATCGCCTCTTTGAAAAATTTTAGAGACATTTTGATGTCCAAAAATTGTTGGAAAGATATAGCTGCTTTTGAGCCGTTCGCTAATTTTGAGCGAAAATTGGGAAGATTTAGTCCCTGATGCGGAGGAGAATGGCTGTCGCTAGGTGCGAGGCAGCGGATTTTGGGCGCTAGGTCCTAAGGTTAGAATAGCTAACCTCTGTGTAGCTGAGGCGAGTAATGATCGGCCTTGCGATTTGGCCGATGCACCATAAATGTGGTGGCTCCGTGGCTTTCAGTGCCTTAGGCGGAAGTAGCGCCTTTGGTGGAGCAGTGTAGCTGCTGGTAGACAAGGTAGTTCAGCAGCTTTATTGAGTCAGTCAACATGCCCGCATGAGTGCAATGGTAGAATGCTGAGGATTGAAGGCGTGGTAATGTAGTATCACAAACATCTGGGCGATAACACACTCATATCACAGCAGGTCATGCTTATGGCATGACCTTCACGATGCTTAGCAGGAGTGATGATATGGTTATAAGGAAGGTGCCGACAAGTCGGCACAGGATACACATTCGAATATACGAATTCGATAAACACAAAAAATATGAAAGTCAAAAAATAGTATGAAAATATGGAAATCGGAAACCGAGTAATATGCGTTCATTCGAAATTTTTTTCGAAAATCAAATATTCGATACCCATTCGTTTAAAAAAATTTCGAGAATCGATTATTCGATATTCGTTCATTCGGTGAAAATTTCCTTTCCTTGCAACTGTAGTAGGTACCATGCATGCACAATTCCTGTCTAAAGTTTGCAACGGTCTTCAAGCTCTGGGACTGAAAAAAGAACTGAATTGCACCAGAAATTGGACAGAAGTTACTCCTAGCCCCTATGGTTCTTTGTCAGTTCGCGGGTTTAGAAGTATTCCACGCTCGAAGAATATGTAAAGGCTACTGCATGACGAACCCCACAAGCAGTTTGAGTTGAGCGGGCGCGAACGCGAAGCGCGCGTATCATCACCGTTGTAAATCCTGCGCCTCATGCGCTCCGCGGCTAAGAAAGCCGCGTTCGCGCCCAAAGATATTGCGCCTTCGTCATGCAGCAGCCTTTATGTATTAGGTTGGTCCGAAATTTCGCGTTCTTTTTTCCTACCCATGCTCAAACCATTTAGAATGAAGATGGACAAAGGCTGTAAGCAATATCCGATGCAGAACTTCTTCCCCTTTCTAATGGTTATGCTCTTGTTCAGATTTCCTTAATATCTTATCAGTAATCGGCAGGGATCTCCAACCCATGATTTTCACCCATCTTCAGTTTGACTAGTTTGTGAAATTTCCATTTTCAACTCTTGGGCTTAGATAACAATTGAATAGAATGAACAAAATGCAATACAATATATTTTTCTGGCATCTCTAGCTGGCTTCCCAAGATTTTTGAAAATATTTTTCTGATGCTATCAAACTCCATCTTTGGGCATCTCAATCCTCACAAAACCATTAACAACCATAGTGTCATTTGATGCAGCTTTTTCTCCTCTTTCTAAAAGACTTCTTTGCTTTCTGATTTGTATAATGTTCAAGGATAAAATCATTATAATTTTTTTCTTTCAGACGCATCCCAGGCTGTACCCAGAAAATTCGGAAATCAATATTTCGAACCGCTAAGCGCTCAGCTGCTTGCTAAGATTAGTGCTAAGTCATAATCTATTTTGGAAGCTTCAAATTACGAGGAGTCAGTGTTTGAAGCGATTGTGTATTTCGCTACTTCGCAAAACTAAGGGCTTTTGGAAAAAATATCTGAAGAAATACTGAAGACTTAGTTGATGAAACCGAAATAATTCATTGTATTGCATTTTGTTTATTCTATCCAACTGTTATCAATGTTAGTCCAAAAGTTGAAAACGGAAATTTCAGAAAATAGTCAAACTGAAGATGGTGAAAATCATGGGTTGTAGATCCCTGCCGACTATTATTATTGCTGAAATCAAGGGAATTTGAACAAAAACATGATCTTTTGAAAGAGGAAGAAATTCTGCATCGGAAAGTGCTTCCAGCGTTTGTCTATCTTCATTCTAAATGGTTTGAGAATGGGTCGGAAAAACAGCGCGAACTTTCGGACCGACCTAATATTTGATGAGATCTCAAAATTCAGAAAAAACAACATTCGAGGACGTTATTTCCGTCAAGGCATCAGAATAACGGTCTCTTTGCAGATACTAAATTCTTGTTATAGGGTTAGTTACAGTATTACAGTACAGTATATGTATTGAAAACGACTGTAGGTTTCCGTGCGAGGGTGCAATGTATGGATTACAGTAGAAATTCTGTGGAAATTATTAGGGTAATGTTGTCCATACAGGTTTCATAAGTTGAAACTCACATCAAGATTCACCTGCCACCATTTCTGGGAAAGTTTGTATCACAATATCCTCCTTGAGTTTATATCCGCACAGTTATTTTTGGTTGATGGCATTTTCAAATGGAGTACTTGCACCAGCTTTCTTGAAGAACAAACCGATTGGAACCGGATTTTTTGTAACGCCAAGCACCATAATAGCAAAACATCTAAAAATTCTCTCTTCTCGCTGAACCTTCTACAAAAGAATAATTAAAGAAGTGGCAAGGTTTGAAAGCGCTACGAGGGCGAACCCCGAACCAAAAAATGTGCCTACTTGATCGTTATTAATTCTCTTGTCATGTGACCTTGTGAGAACGTCTAGGTATAACTTTGTAGAGCTGGCTTCGGCTTAGATTTGAAGCATGGTGCAAACTCTTCATTACTGTAGGATTACGGCAGGAACTCGCGGCATATGGCGCCACCGTGAGATGGGCAGTTCGAGATAAAAAAAAAATTCTTAAAATATGGAAAACTGTGTGAGGAGGCTTCTGCATGATAATCTCACTGCATAACTTTTTGCGCATTCGCAGAGCTTTTCAAATAGCGTAACTAAATTTTTGTCGAATATATCAGGAAGCGATTGTTATGATATCTGACAGAACTTATGAGCAAAGCGCTATGGTTAAATGTGAGTTCCATTTGAAATCAGCGACTTTGATTACTCTAATATAGGAGTTTGCAGCTTCTTTAGTCCTTTTCAGGGTAGAGTATGACCCCTAATGACACAAAAAATTTTACGTAATCTTACAATAATGAAGAGAGAACGGTAATTCTCCATACCGCAAAACCAATTCAGCCACCTTTCAAGGCGGCTGAAGCACCTTGAAGGACTTTATGAAAACAAATTTATCAACAACCAAACATAGGCACATTTTTGAAATACCCTGTATATAAAAAATTCGATAGAACGCGGCTCTAAAGCTATGAACGCCCTCATCAGCCGCAATCCAGCTAAGTCTGAAGACAAATTCTAGCGGTGTTCAATGAGATCTTCGCCCAAATCCACTTGATTAGCACGTGACAGACGAGAGCAGTTCATTTTTTTTGTATTCAGCTCAACTTTGCTTTCTTTTTTTTTTGCCTAAGCCCACATCCAACAGAATCAAGAAAATGGATGATTTTGATGTATTCGATACAGCTTCCCCTCCTCTTTCCACTTGTTTTATTTTCAACTTCAGATCTTCGAATATACAAAAGTTTCGCAATTCTAACTGGCCACAGTTACCACCGCTAATCAAAAATTTTGAAAATTTTTGTTACAGGCAAAAATTAAATAACGGATAGGTAGAGCAAATAACAGTATCCATTTCTGGACTTTATGGCGAAAGTCCGATTTTTCGAAAATGTCTTCACCGAAGAGCTTTGGTTTTCGAGCACCAAGCCACCCATGAAAACAATTCGATGCCTTAAAAACCACATTTTTGAAAACGAGTGGAGCTTGACAGTATTCCATAGTCAGAGCTTAACAGTAATCAAATGTCAAAATTAGAGTACCCACAATTCTTCGAATGCCATTAAATTTCAAATTAATGATGCAAATCCGTTGTGATGTCTTTCATGTACTCCTTCGAGTAACACATATATAATAGAAATCACGAAAGCTGTGCGAAAAACCATACGTTGTAGATTTCGGTGGTTTTCCAAGTGTTCGTTAACTGCATACGCGTATGACCAGAGAGCAAAAAGCTGTGTCGAGTATCCCCATTCAGCTTAATGTGGCGGATATAACGCTTAGTCAAAAAGGCGGAACTTCTTCGAGACGATATCTAATATACAGGGTGTCCTAAAATGTGCATGTTTGTTCGCTAATAGCTCTCTTGCTTTGATGTCTTTGCCGAATTTTAGGTAGTACCCTATAGAGCTGACCTCAACTTAGATTTACTATATGGAGCAATACCGATCACTCTTCGTTTTTGTAGGATTAGTACGGTAGAAAATTCCAGCATACAGAACCATGAACTAGGCCGTCTGACAAAACTTGTCTACAAAAAATATGGAACTGTGTGGCAGAGTTTTCAAGCATGCTGACTACAACTTTTTAAGAATTTATTTTTGGTGAATAATCGCAGTTCTGACAAACACTGGAAAAGCAATTATTACGGTATAACTAGAATAACTTAGAGGCATTAAGGTAAAGTGGAAACTTCATATCTAGAATCAGCGACTTCAACTAGCCTGGAATAAAAATTTCTGGCTAGATTGGTTCTTTCTTTAGGCAAAATATGGCTCTCAATAGCCCAAAATCCTTTCCAAAGTTTCTACCGTAATGCCATAGTAATAAAGAGAAACCGATGATTCGCTTCTTACAGTAAATCCTAATTGAACTCTGCTTTACAGAAAGATACCTGAATGTGTCCGAACAACATCAGAGCAATAGAATTATCGGCGATCAAACAGTGTACAAATATTTTGGACACCCTGTACACTACCTCTCATCTAAAAAAACACCGCATTCCGCCTGAGTTCGCAGAACTTCGCATCGCATCGCCATCCTACTCAAGAGGGACGCTGAATCCAAACCATTCAACTCAACTCGACGAGGTGCTCTGATACATAAATCTTAAGCACGGTAGTAGTCGAATTCAACGGATTCTGGGTTTTTTGTTCACGGTAAATTATTTAGACTTACTCATTACACCATGAGTAGCCTATCATAAGCAAAAATATGGAAGTCCGTGAATCTTGACCGACTACCGTGCCCAAACAAGCATTTCTATAAATCGGAAGATACATATCGTAGGTCTGAGTTGAATGGTGCTTTCGGATCAAATTCGTCCACTCTGAAGCGAGATATAGCGATGCATTGAACTGGCGAACTCCGGCGGAGTGCGGTGACTTTTTTTTTCACGAATTACGAGCGGTATTGCATATCACTGTGTTTTCACTATACGATTGACTTAGCGGGAACTTTTTATGCTTTTTCAAGGTGAAATTTCGATTGCTGGACATCAAAGGGTTCTATCCTTAGGATCCTAGTTCAAACTTTACCTTAAAGGCAGTGGCTTGGCAGATTGACAATTTTGGTATCCATCGTTTTCGGTTCCCTTGGATGAGCTAACAAGAGAAGCCGAAGTGGCCTTTCCACATGGCACCTATACCACTTTGTAGAGTATTGAACGATGATTTCAAATCCGTCTTCCATATCTGCCAAGCGCCTCCGGAGGCCGAGTTATGGGAGTTTCAAGTCTAAACACTGAATGCACAACTAGAACAAAGCCATCCAAGACTGCTCAAATGGTCAGGTGTTCATTATCAGAGTATTTCGTTTGATGGCTACCTTCTGCCTAATATCCTTACTCGACAGTGCTCTATAAATGTCGTAATTAGTGTTTCATAGATTCTGCGTTCATTTTTTGCTCCAAAAAACACTAGCTTATAACTAGGCGTCCAGGGGTGCTTGGCAGATAGTGAAAACAGATTTGGAATCAGCGTTTAATGCATTTCAAAGTAGTATACAAATCATTTGGAAAGTCCAGTTCGACTAAAGACGCTTCCCTTGTAAGTTCAAGACTGTGCTTTGCAGCTTCAAAAGATATCAATAATCCGCTTTTCCAGACTGAAAAGTGCTATGGGCGGACAGCGTAAGCCCGCTCACTAGAGCGCAGTGACTCATTGGTACGGTGGGTACGGTATCTCCACTCACGAACCAATCGCGCTCTAGAGCGCAGACTTACGCGGTCCGCCCAAATAGCGCTTTCGTCTGGAAAACCGGGTTATTGGCATCTTTTGGCGCTGCAAAGCACAGTCTTGGACTTAGCTCATCCAGGGGAACTGAGAACGATGAATATCCCAAAATTGTCAATCTGCCGAGCCACTGCCTTTAATTGCGATTCATATAGAATTAGTGGTCACAATGTATAGCTTGTTGCCCTATCGAACAGTAACCTTCTTGCACCGACTGACGTTCACGCGGCCTGCAGCATAAAAAGCCACAAGCTTCTCAACCTAATAGACACACGTTTGCTCGGTATCGAATGTGTCCTTGTATAGACACTATCTGTAATGTCCACCTTTGTGCCGATCACGCAAGTGGAGTCAAAATGAAACGAGCCAAATAAGCACCTCTTTTTCATAGCTCATTTCCAGTGCAAGAAGAAATAAGAAAGATTATTTGCAAAAATTTGATGATGGAATCGAAGAACTCATGGGTGTTGCAGCCAGATCAGCTTCCAACCTTCCAAATCTTTTTCTTCCCTTTTCAAAGTCAATATCCAAGTGTTTTGCAACTGAGTCAGTACAAATGAGACAGATCTTAGAGGCAGAGTGTATTCAATGCATTGCATTTTTTCAGCGATAAAATAACGACGCACGTCAGTATGGCTGGGCTACCATTTCGTAGATTCGTGTATTACTCCCACTAATGATTCGTTGCTTTGAGGAAATTACGACTAAATCCATGAGAAATGAAGTATGTGCAAGTAACTTGTTCATGCTTCCAAATAATTGAAATGGTTTTTTTAAAAATTTCTAAAAATTTAAATTAGCCTTGAAAGAAATTTTCGCGGGCGTGGCCTCAGCCACTCCCCCTCTTTTGAAATTTTGGAGAGTTGGGGCGAGGAAAAAAAGAAACATGAGCTATAGTAGTCCGCAATAGTATGCGAAATCCCCAAACTTTTAGAAGTCGATCTCAACAGTCGTGATTTGATTTCTTTGAAGACGAAACATTGGGACTACAGCTTCGAAAAGTACCATGAGCTTGTAAATGCAAGATTTTTTGCAAGATTTCACCATGGAAATGAGCAATGATGAAAACTCGCTATGACTGCGGTACGGAAATAATCAAGAGTGCAAGCGCTGCAGCAGATATGGCAAAATTTCGGTAATAGAGTAGGGAAATTTAGGAAGACCCGCACGGAAACGACTCCTCAATGAATTTGAATGGAATTGCTAGAGAAAAAAACCCTAGTGAAACATATGTGTTTATCGAATCTACTTGACACCATCTCAGTTTTTGGCTCAATACTATTTATAGTTGTACGTCATCACCATTTTTGATTTGAAGTACATTTCCTGGAAACTCTATGTAGTTTGCTAGATCTTGCGAGTTCTCTGCTAGTGATGTGCAAATTCAGAATCCTAGTACCGGTTCTTACATTTTCTTCCTGCAAATAGAGCTTTGCTAAGAAAGTAGTTCTCTTGCTTGTTGATGCGTACAGCATGCCATGACTTTTCTGAAAAAAAGTAACGCATCTCATTATTCACGTGGCTTTGGGATTGATCCTCGAAGAAGAATACCCGATTGGAAATAAATGAATAGAAAGAGAGAGAAAGGCGATAGGAACAGAAAAAGGGTGCTGTGCACTTTGCCGGATTTAAGCCGGCTGTACTCTTATTCGCTGCATGTGTGTGCTCGGAAACGCTGCAAAGTGGCAAAAAGCGGAATTTTTTGTCGCCAAAGCCAATGACTCGCATGTGCTGGACCAGCAGGAACTCCACTTGTTCTCGTTATGTTCATTACTCAGCAAAAACGCTTTGCAGAATTTTGAGAAGTTGTAGACTAGATTTTGACAATCCCGCACTAAATATCAGCGACATGAACAGCTACTGGCCGTTCAAGAAATCTAAATCAAAAATTCAGCCAAGAGCAGTTTCAAAATTGTTTTCTGAAAGTATCCAATTTAATCTGTAGAAGCACGGATTTGACTCTCGCCGAAAAGGTCCCGAAAAGTGCTAGTCATCCTAGCTTCTTCCTCAAAGTACTGTATGAAAAACCCTACTAATCGGAAATGCAAAAACATCTGACGAGTACTTGCTTCTCTTGATTGAAAAAGCGACAAAACCTCGCTAAAGGCTCTTTCTTTACTTTGCAATATTACTGTAAAGTTGCACAGCTGTACAGATTTTATTACAACGACAGTGCAGCCGACGACGAGCCATCGTCTGGTGTTCGCCGTCCTTGCCGCGCTTACGCTTGGCTAGAGCGCAGCGAGGCCAGAGCGAAACAGTGAGCGGCCTCGGAGCGGACGCCGACGCGCAAGATGACGTCGCGTGCGTGCAGGTTTTTGCGGACTGTCACCGGTAACGTACGACTATTGCAAGCGGCTTTCGTTTAGGCTTTATTTTTGTTAGCTTTGTAAACGCGAGGGCTTGAGACAAGTTTATAATCGGGTGGAGAAGACATCATTGCAGTCCACATCAAGTTAGAATAGAATGTGATGGGGATTTTGCCGCTTTTGAAGCATGTTGCTTACGCGTATTGATTTAGAAAATATTAGAGGAGAGGTGTCCTTCATCAATGAGGCTTTAATTGTTAAGGGTGATTCGTATGGCCACATTAGCTGCTGAACTTATTGCTGAACACCAAGAAATTGCACAAATTACACAAGGTAGCGTCAATCTTTCATTTCTCCTAAGATAGATACCGAATATTCATAAATCTTTTTTGAATTAAACATTTCTTCCATCAAGCCTTGCAGTAATATCATTTTTACTGCCACACTCAGATTTTGACTTTATATAATTGCTTCATCATGGTTTACAATTCTTGAAGTTCTTTTTTCTACATGCATTATTCTTCATTTTCAAATCTTATATTCTATTTGATCATGTTTTCGTTACATTATTGATGTTGCAGAATCATGACCCCATATAATCGTTTCATTTGATCATCTCGCTTTCTTTCAAACATGAGTACGTCAACGAATTCTGCATCGAGCAGTACTCAACCAACTGATCAGCCTATCGCTCAGGTAGCAGTATTTACTGAGTGTATCGTATTAGTGAATAATATTGGTTTTCCAGAGAGCGGTTATATCCACGCCAACATCTGCCACTGTCACCCCATCACCTGCCCAAATTATAGCCGAGCAAAAGCCTGATGTGGCGGATGGCATGGTGGTATGTAAGCTTCGTTTTTCTTTTCATGATTATTCGCTTATAAAATTATGGTTTATTTCATGTGAGTTTGCTTCATTTTCGCTCTATATGCTCATATACACAGTTTGGTAGGGCTCCCCTTGCTGTTTAGGATCATGATCACACCCGAATTTTCTATTGATAGGAAGATTTTGCGGCTACGGAGTTGATAGTTTTTTTTTGCACATTGAAAGCATAATAGGAAGACTTTATGATGAGCTTTATAAATCGATTTTGAGAAAAAAAAACATTTCTTACGTTACATTACAGAAGAAAACCTTTACTCACTCATTAAACTGTGCAGCTTATGTTAGGAAAGGAGTTGTTTCCCCTCTGCATCTACGCATGCGCTCGCAAAGACGTTGCGTGGGCGTCGGGTCTAAGTGCTTTGCCGGAATGGTGATGAAAGCTTGTATCTTCGTGTTCATTATGTGCTACTTCTATAAAAGATTCTTAAAAAAAAGGGGCTGGGCTTCAAGTAGACGTAATTCCTTGAGGGTTGGTAATGCCAACGTACGCTTGTTAACGCGATGCAGCATCACAAAAGGGTCGTCAATTCCACGATTAGGGAAAGGGAATGCGCCAATGACATACTGTAGCACGCCAAGAAGAAAAGGAAGCTTTGTTTTTATCAACCTCATTACTTCTGCCCACATTTAATTGTAGATCTACCTATACGCACAAACATGTAGTTGGAATATGAGTCGATAACTGGTCGAGACAACTGAATCTTTCCGTTCCATTTATACTTTTTATAAGTTGTCATTCTTTTGAGTCGTATTCGATGTTTTGTTTAGCTTGGAGAGGAAGCCCGTGACTATTACCCTCCAGTGAAAAATGAAACCAATGGTGACATCAATAAGCCTCCGGCGCCAGCGCAGTCTGAAGTTGACAGGACATCCATAATAAGCAATTGCGGCACTGTTGAAGACGACAGCGCCACGGTTAATCCCAGCCGCGAAAGTACTGCTGATGACCCGGATGTGGAGGGTGAAGCCAGCGACACTGAGCAGCCGGGCCCAGCAGATATCCGCAAAACTTCTGCTGCTCCGCAGGTAAGACATCAGGCCCCAACTTACCTGTTTTCTATGGATCATTTATAGATAGATGCGCAGCAACTGCGCTGTGATCCCGACTTTGCTGTGATATGCAGTTTTATCAACAAGTTTTTCACACTCATGAGTCAGTTTCTTTCCCTAAGCTGTCAAAAGCACTATGTTACTTTATTTAGGAATGGAGCCAGTCAGTTTTTCCCAGTTAGAGAATATGTTTACAACGCTAGAAGATGGCAGAGGTTTGCAGCATAAATTCTTATTGGGCAATTTTTTCCGAAATTTGCTTCAGCGCATTTGTGATCGTCGGATGTATTTCAGTATCCAAGGAGCTGGTCGATCTTCATCTTAAGCTATTACGCCGTTCAATTGTGAAGACTGTCAGTAATGATAGTTTTGAAAAGTGCCTACTCAAATACCTCAGCAGTACTGGTCTGTTGCCATCAGAGAAACGGCAATTAGAAACGTGAGTATACTTTCACACTTACACTTTACCTGTATTTTTGACCGTTTTCGTTTGCTTTTGGATATTGGATGCATTTTACTCACTGTGTTATCAGGTATAGATATGCACAGTAGCAGCGGTACTGTTGTGTATCTGCGAGTCAGTCCGATTTTTTTAGTGAATAGTCATTGTTATTTTTCCGATTTTTGTTACCCTCCGATTTTAGTGTTACCCACAAAATGCAGTGGCTTGCTGCCTACTCTATTAGTTGTTGCCTTTCTCGAAGAATTTCACTGTATGCACACCCTTCATACGTTAATTTCTGAAGAGCTGTTGTCTTGTGGCGAATGATCATTTCTGAGCTGTTTTTTTTTCTTCTAATTTCAGTTTTGCTGTACTGATCTAATATCGTTGAAGTGCATTATCTTCAAATCAAATTTCAGTAAAGTAGCATCAGCAGACTTCAAGCAGTTATTTTTGTTTGCTATATCATCGATTCCGCTATGGAACTAACAACTTGTGCACGTTAAACCTCTGGAGATGGTGAATCTCTGCTTGTATGGTACTCCCAATTTAGGTACGGCTACGTGCATATGTCCATATCGAGCAAATTGAAGATACTGAGGGCATTATGTGAACTGCAGTTAGACCATAATTTGCGATTGAGAGAAAGTGTGAGTTTTCGTTGTTCTCTGTAAGTGTAGGCTTGATGTAAATAAGTGGTTTTAATCTTTTGTAAAACTAAAACTTATGATTATGTCGAGTTTCAGATACCCCCAGCTTTGAGGGCTATGGATATGCGGCACTTAGTAACCGGGGTAGATAAGGATGGACTCGCCTATTACTTTCAAATAGATTCAAAGTTTGGACTGCGCTTGTATACTACGGAACAAGATGATGAAAGCGGCACATCTTGGACTCTAGTGGCTAGGTAAGCAGAAATGCTTCTTATTCTGCATCACATTTCCGCACAAATCTGCTTTGACTTGTTAATTTCTAGTACCTTTCTTCCATTTTCAAGCTAAAGTAATGCTCTCAAATTTTTCCAGTGACATGACTGATCTTGAAAGTCTCATCACAAAGTTGAAGGAGCAAGATCTAGGTTATGTGAAGAATCCGAACGACAAGCGTGATTTTGTGAGTTGAGATGTACACCTGCATTGGTCAAATTCTACGTTTCTTTCAGAATAAACCAGGTGAAGGTGATCCCGAGCATACGCTCACAAATATGGTGACTAAAAAGGGTACATTTGTTGACATGTTCCTTGACGATGCGGCAATCAAGGTATGTATAATTTTCTACTCAGAAATGCGTCTTCTATTGATTTTTCCCAGAGAATGAGAAAGAGAATGATCAAAGAGAAGGAAGAACGACGGAACAGACGAAATGCGAGAATGGAAAATCCTCAAGAAACACATGAGGAAGTGCATGTTGAGGAGGAAGAAAAGCATGAAGAGACTGAAGAGGTACGCTTGGCTGTTGCTATCGTTCATGGTGGGCAGTTTTGTGCGCATGATTACAACAGGTGTTTTTTGATTTGAAGTCGTGTATTTCTTTACATTTTTCCCATATTGATTTCGTGTTGCAGTGCCCAAGTTTCAGGGGGATCGCAGAGTTTTACCTCGACGAAGTGCGTCGCAGAAAGCACAGTCTAACATTCGAAAGTATATATCTCCAAAGAAAACGCACGAGAAGAAGCCCATTAACGAGGCCCATGAGGAACTTGTCAAAGAGGAAGCCAAGAGGGTCAGTTATTTGAGCTGTGACATGGTCTAGCACATCATCGCATTTTCTATTGTAGGATTCTTCAACACCAGCAGTATCTGACGATAGCGACGGATCTGCAGGCACGTCTGAGAACGAAGACGATGGCTCTGCTAGCAGCGATGACGAATTCAAACCAAAAACTTCCAGAAAATCGACAGGGTAAGGCATGGTTACACGTTGCCAAGCACACTATATGATTTTATTTTGAGGAAACGTCGAGGTAGAAGAAAGAAAGTAGTGGATGATGTAGATGATGAGGACGACTCTGGCGAGGAGGTGAGAATTTTCCGGGCACATGATGGTTATAAGAGTGGGTAGTTCCAGGAAGAAGAGGTGCGCCGCAGAGTTGAGGGTGATTTTGCGTGTGGAGCTTGCAAACGAAGTGACAATGAAGAAATTGTAAGTCGTTTATTGTGAGATTCGGCTCGACTAATCGTTTTTTCTCACCTGAAATGTTTTTGCAGTTGTTGCTCTGTGACAATTGTGACGATGCTTGGCACACAACGTGTCTGAAACCGCCGCTTTGGTAAGTTTCGATACATTATGTACAGTATCTTTAACCTTCATTTTTCACGTTGCCATCGCATTTTTCCACTGAAATTGACTTTTGCCCAAATGAGTCTTGAACGGTTTTTTGTTCAAGAGTTGTGCGTTTAGGTTCGTTCCCGCAGGCAAATGGTATTGCCCGAAATGTGAACATGGAATGCTCATTGAATGTCTCACCTATGTCCAGGAAATGCTTTCGATCCAACAGAAAAAAGCAGCTGCAGAAGAGAAGAAGTAAGTACGAGATGAAAGCATTCGTTGTCCTTTTTTTTACCTTTCTTTTTCATATTTCCTGCAATCTGCGTGATCTCATAGTCGCCGTAGAACATTAGTTAGACAGTTTGAAAAGGGGTCGGCGTCTTCGATAGGCATGCGCCAAACGCATTTCGGTCTATAGTCAAAATGGCTGGTGAATGCGGACTCTTTACATTGACTAATCATATCCTATCCCAAGAGTCGTAGGCTCGTTCGAACAGGGGGCGGGAATCGAACGTTAAACTCGGAGGTTATACGCACATCATACCACAAATCCACTTCTAACAGTGGTTGGCTTGATCGTCGGATTCTAAGTGGTCAATCAGCTCCATGAAAAGGGTGCATCCAAACTGTTCACTTTTGGCCTGCCATTCCAGTATCGCAATGTTTTCTTCCCACCAGCTCATTCTGCAGGCGCTGCAAGCATGTTGGTGTCAGAATCGAAACCTAGTTTTTCTCGTTTCTAACTCATTTTTCTTAGCCATTCTGTAATTGAGCTGAATTCGTCATTTTCCCTAAGGAGTGGTGCCTCTTCGCCCATGTTTTGGTTCTGCCAGCCTTCTGGAACAGTAATGGCGGGACTGTGTTTTGTTTGATTAGATAGACGCGCGCGAACACATGTCTCTTGGCTCGACGCCAATGTATTGTTTGGCATGCTTCCAGCGGCGTCTGCCTGCTTGCACCCTCTGGCTTACGCATGCTGCATCGTTGCGTTGATCGCGTACTCCATTCCAAACACAACGCAAGAAACAAATCTATCAGATTCGAATCGACTGTGTGCCTCCTCACAAAGGATGTTTATAGCAGTTCTGCCTCAATCGCAAGAAAAGTGCAGAACGACTTCCTGTCCTTGCAAGAGTGTGATTTTGTTGAAGTGCTCGAATGTTTTCCTGCCCATGTTCCTTGAGTAGCAGCATAATCCTCATCATGTTATCGCAACAGTTATAGAACATGCATAAAAACTATATTCGTGATCTTGATGGAGCGTCTATTTTGAAAAGCTCAAAGATCCCACCTAAAGCGCATGCAAGAAGTGGTTATGTTACAAAAATTGTGAAGAAGGCAACAAGAAGGTCAGAACGCTCTTCTTCATGCGGGTAAGTTGACATGGACCTTGCGAAAACGCTTTTAAGGCGAAACATTAATAATAACAACTTTTGAAGTTATGCTATTCCTACTTTATGAGTCAGCACTGTGTTATGTTTTGCAGAAGGAAGGCGGCAGCAGACAGATTCCGTCGTGAAATGGAGTACATAGGCGTCTCCCTCAATAATATCATTCCAACTACGGTAATTTGTACAAGAGAATTGCTTCTTACCAATCTGTGGATGTATTTTGTGTAGCACGATGTTCACAATTTTCTGAAATTCTGATTTTAGTTGAAACAAAGTGCCGTGGACAGCTCAAGCTCTTCATCCAGTGACGATGGTCAACGTCGTAGTAAGAGGAAAGCCGTAAAGTTAGTTCTTTGTATAATGTATCATTAGCAACTCCTCATTCTTTCAAGACTTTGAGCTTTTTCATCATGCTTAACTTTTGCATTTTTGTATCATCAGTGAGGTTTCTATCACGGAATTTCAAATCTTTTTTCTGTGGTTTTTTTCTCTACTTGAAGGTGCGTGGCGTTAGCCAGGCACTCCGAAAAAATTTTTGGGGTGCTTCTCAAAGTTTTTGCGGGTCCATAGCCCCTGAAATCTAGAAAAAGGGGGCGTGGCTGCCGCCACGCCTCTGTAATTTTTTTTTCACAAGGCTAGTTTGAATCTTTAAAAATTATTTTGATTGTTCGCAAGAATAAACAAGTCACATGCATATTTTTATAACCCATGTAAGTAGATTTCAAAAATTTCGCGACCCATTCTCGGGGATGGGGGGGGGGTCCAAGAAGGTTATCTAGCGAAAATATTGCAGGCTGAATCTTCGATCTTTTGATTTAACTTGAGATAATTTTGATTTGCTCACATCCTCTAGGATGCTTTGTGCAATACTGAGATTTCCGATGCACCGAAGAAGAAAGACTCATTATCTTACCTTCATGTTTCAAATTAACCTTTTCAGTTGCATCCGGTGATTCTGTTTTCAGTGATTTTAATCTTTCAGAAAAATTGCACCGAATGCTCATCGATATGCGCCGTTGCAAGTGCAGACTGTAGCTGAAGGCCGATCAAGAAGATCTGTGAAAAAGGTTGCTATTCTCATGCATCTTCTGTTTTGCATGTATATCATTCTGAAAATTCTGAATATTCCATTTTCCGTATCATTGTTGTTTCTTTCCTAGGTGGACTACAAATTTTCTGAGTTCGACACAGTGATCAAAGAAGCTTGTCGACTGAATGAATCACCTCCTCCACCAGAAGTCATGAATGGTAGGGTCGACCTTCATGCTTAAAGTTTTTCCGTGTCCACTGCTAATTTCAGAAGTTTCTCGACCGCAAGGTGGAGCTGGTCGGGGCAAAGATATGGCAAACATCTTGGAGGCTCAGAAACAACGCGATGAAGGAACTCCTCGGTAAGTGTTGAGCTGTAAGAGCGACTCGTTCAACCCTTGTGTATCTCCTTTGTTCTAGAGCCTCGACAGGTATTCCTCCTCGTCTCCCCAAACATCGGCGTAAACTAAATGATCTGAATGTTAACGAGGACTCCGATTCCGATTCCGATGAATACAAGGCAAATGAGTGAGTCTTCGAACCTTTCTTGCGTGATCACGCTTTTTCCTGAGAGTTTGTTGTTTGACAGATGGTTCTCCTTGATTAATGTGAGATGGAGCAGTTGTCTCTTACTACTGGAATAACGGTGTACAATTCTTAGTAAAAACGTATCTGGTTGGGTACACATCCAAAACTCAGGCTAAAGAATGTGAACTTTCTGAAAGTGAGGGAAGATTTTCGTAACAAGAAGCATTGCTACAGCAGCAGACCTGTTTCATTCTTTTGTATTCATGTGACTACAGCTACTTGATATCACTGTAGTTCTGCCCTACTGGATAGAGGCTTACGTCTTCTTCACAGGGCAGTCATAAATTACGAGCTGGATATTTCATCTTGGTATCCTTGAGAAAGTAAGGCAGTATTGATGAACCCTCATTACTGCATCTAAAGGGGCGCCATATGTCTGGTTGAATTTTCTGTCAGCGTTTTATTTCTGTCATTTGCAGATCAGATGAAGAAGAAGCCGACGAAGACGCGCAATCTTCATCCGACTATGTGCCTTCCGAGACTGAGCTTCGAAGAGAGAGGTATTTTCATTTATATTTGCGATTTTAGTACACACTTGAATGCATATATGGCAAGTATGATCTAGAGCTGGAGGTGGTGGAGGACGAAGCCGACTGAAACCCACGCAAAGTGACGAAGATTTCGTCGTTTCGGGTTCTGACGATAGCTATACAGGAACAAGGCGAAGGAAGAAGAGGAAGGGCAAGGAAAAGTCTCGAAAACGATCAAGATGGTCTGCCATGAAAGTCTTTAGAACTTTAACGAAATAGGCTATTCAGGAATTCGGATGATGATTCCGACGAAGAGGAAGATGATGAAGATACGACCTACTCCGATGATTCCGAAGCAAAGAGGAAAAAGAGGAAACATGTGGAACCGGAAAGTGATGAAGAGACAAACGACGAAGACGATGAAGTGCAGATGGAAGAGGACGATGATGATAGCGATGCGCCGCGGACGCGTGCTGGAAGGTAAATTTGATTTTTTTTTCTGGATGTTGAGATCACTGAACCCTGAATGTTTCAGACCCCTCCGAAAAGCAGTGGTGAAGTCGAAAGCTGCGCTTCGTGAGGAACTTGAGGACGAAGAAGATAGCGACGAAGAAGATGAAGAAACGGAAAATGGTGAGCCTGTTGCTGAGAAGGAAGCTGTGGAACCCAAGAAAGCCAAGAAAAGAAAAATCACGTCAGTTTTCTCCCGTAAATCTTTCTATGTTATTTGACTAAATGCATCGGTTGCAGTTCTGATTCCGAATCGGATGTTTTTGAACCAGATGAGGAAGCTGAAAACGATGAAGATGAGGAAGACGAGGAAGAGGAAGAGGATCAGGATAAAAACATTCAATCCAGAAGGGCGCCACCAATTCCGGGCAAAATGCAATCTTCATCTGTTGCCAAAAAACCAGCTAATGAGCCTCCGCCACAACAAGAATCGGATGAGGAGACTGATATGGATTCTGATAATGACTTAGGTAGTTCATTCTATCGCAGTTAGCGAAGCTAAGATTTCATTTACAGATCTCAAGCCCAAAGCTAAGAAACCACGTATGGAGGAAAACCCTGAACGAAAACCTGAGGCTGTTACGAGCTCGGCCCCTCTTAAGGTGATCAAACCATTAGAAGTTCATGCACCAAAATAAACTTTTTTAGGACAATGGTGCTATCACTATGGAATCGAAGCCGAAACCAATCACTGCTCCAAAATCTGATGCTCCCGTGGATGCAGCAGTTCCAAAAAGTTCAGTGTCAGCTTCTGCAGAAATGGCCGATCCAAAATCCATCGAGAAGAAGCCCTTGGCTGCGGAAGCATCTGAGTCGAAGCCTTTGAACGCGAAGACAGCTAATTCCGAACCATCCGTTTCGAAGGCATCCCCCTCTCTGCCTTCTGCTCCTAAAACTGCACCAGAGTCGAAGGAGGAGAAACCGCGTGTTTCACCGCTTTCTTCAAAAGAGGAGAAGCCTAGTGCGTCGCCAAGCCCGTCACTGGCACCAGCTTCTAACCCGTATGTGTCTGCTACGGTCGTATCGGAGTCAAAGGTCCTTGCTACCGTAGTCTCATCGGTGCCTACGAAAGCAGATACTGTAGGAGTTGAGACCATGGCTCCATCGTATGTGACCAGCGAAAGAACTACCAATGTGTGAGTCGTATTATGAGTTCTCATGACATCGCTATTCAAGGAATTATTTTGAAATTCTCTTTTCGTTTTTTAGAGCGTTGACAACTTTGGTTCCCAATCCGTATGCGACTGCGCCACCAATTCCTCAAATGCCCTATGGTTAGTTGGTACTCTTGATTTGTAATTAGTATGAAATTTCGGTAGACTGTGTTCGTAGCTGGCAATAGATTTCTTGAAAGGTGCCAGTACAGAACCTTGTGGGGATAGGCTTTGGCTTCTTTCCTTCGGTGTTTATAATTGACCTTTCTCGAAATGTCGCAATGTATAATGAAGGCAATGTTTGAGCAACATTAATTATGCAATCCGAAAATCATACAAAAGCAGGTCGAGTCATCGACAAATTCCTTTAGAGCTCATTCCTCTTTGTAAACGCGTTTTCTCATTTTTATCCGTACAATCAATTTTTTCATGAAGTTTTCAGTGCAAGTGTTTTCATTGGGTTTTCACTGAAGGAAAAAAGTGCATTCGGAATTCCTCATCACCTTTGCGTAACTTGTATCATGCTCTATGGAGTGATGTCTTACGTTATATCTATATATGTTGAGCACTCCACAGGTTTTTCAAAGTTTAGTCACGTCAGATCCATCCTATCCAAATTCGGGAGTGTTTGGACGGAGCTTGTTGCAGTTTTTTTGTTTGGTCCCCTGTTTGTAAAACAGTAGCTGGGCTTCGAGTCGCTAAAAAACCCCCAAAAAAGCGTGCAATTTTTCCAAAGAAAACACCGCCTGAAGCTGTCGTGTAGCGGCAAGAGCAGGTTTGCGCTGCTTGGACCTGGAAGGGGGGGGGGTGCTTAAGTATAATATTTTGACATTTTCCATGAAGAGATTCCGTCCGTGTGTGACTTTGTATATCGTCTGATTCATGCGATGTACACAAAAAAGAAGAGTATTCTAGGTCCACCAGCAGCTATGCCGTTTGTATCAAATCCGTATGCGCCTTATCCTCCGAACACGACGCCCTTTCCTCCTGGACCACCAGCTATGGCACCGCCACACATTGGTTATATCCCGGGAGTGGTACCAAATCCTTACGGACAGCAGCCGAGGTAAATTTGTGTTTTGAGAGGCAATTTTATCGAGTCTATGTTACAACTTTAGCATACCACCGTCGAAGACTGGCAGCCGCGACCTCCGATCATTGTGATGATCAAGTTCCTAATATTGTTTCCGAAATGCTGTGCACAGTGCTTGTGGCCCGTTTTATACAACGTGTTTTCCATGCTATCACAATATTCTACTTCATACATAGAGCTATCATCTGATCAATCTTTTATGATGTCGATTTTTTTTCAATCTGTGATACGGTTACTACGACTGTGTGCATTTATTCGATGTAAGCACAGCCAGCTTGAGTATGTTTGTATGTTTTATTCCGTTTTAAGCTTGTAAGCAATCTTTGTAATACTTAGTTGCGTGTTCTAACCGCTTTTTATCGTTGAAGTACAGGCCAAATGAGCATATGATATGATGCCCTTCTCCCACGAATTCCGGTGTAAACTGGTTTGTTAATTACATGATCCTAGAAGGGATGATACTCAAGATCTGATACTCACCATTTTTTGATTGTAAGTGCATCTAATCTGTTCGTACATTTGAGTGTTTTATTAATTTTATTCTTTTGTATGAAGTATTGATGACTTGTTTGTAATACAATCGTTCATCTTCTCTATCTGAAGGTGTTGAGCTACAGATGATTTGTTTTGTGCATCGCATTCAGTTTTTCAAGCTCTATATGAGGAGAACCTCCATTATGCTTATAAGAAAGTGAAATCCTTGCCGAAAGAGATGGTATCACGAGTATTAATTTACACTGTGTATTAGTTGACATATTCGTTAGCGCACAGAAGGGGCATGTTGGAAAGTTCACAATTTTTGTTTTTATTCGCCAGCCCAAAAAGTTATTAAATGTATGTGTTCACAAGAAAGGGTAGAAAATTTCATAGTTTGTTTTAGGTCGTTCCTTCCAAGAACCTAGAATGGTATTGTATGTTCTTGAAAGGAATTGTATGAATATAGAATGTCTCTCTCCCAAGAGTCCATTAAACTGAACTTTTTCGATGTCAAGGAGGAGGAATTCTTCACTATGTTTAGCTTATAATCTGAACAAAGCTACTATGTAAAAGCTCGATGACAAATCCACGTCTGTTTTGGTGCGTCATCATCCTGAAGTGTCTATTTCTGATAGAGCGTTTGTTTAGAGTTTGCCATAATCGGCTCAACATATTCGGTTTCATCGGCGACAATATCGAATTGAATGTGGAAGTTCGTCAATCAACACATCCCATCAACGTCGTCTGTTGTCTGACTTTTCTTTTTGTTTGCTTTATGCAGTTTTTTCCATGTATAAAGTTTTTATGAAGTATTAGAAGGTAATTCTAGCATTTAAATCGAGCAAGAGACGAGTAGTACTACAAACGGAAATTTTTTTATGTCAGATGTAGCTTCTGACCATTGCTACAATTCGCGGGGGGGGAAGGGAGGATGGGTGGGGGGGGGGGTATGCGAAATCTTAGAATAGCTTTCCAAAAGCCGTGCTCCCAAGCGAGTCATGGGACCCGATTGGATGACATTTTTTATGCTCTGAGAGCTCTGGAAAATGATAATCCAGTTAAGATCAACCTACAATAGTACTACTTTTGTAAGCTTGTTATCACTCTTCGCTATTCTTTCTTACCGTCGGGTGCAGCACTAAATCGACATCTCTCCAGCATAAATATTGTAAAAGAAAGTTATAGAGTTCGAGATTAGGTATTAAGTACGGTAAATTAAGTCGAAACACAATTCCTGCACCCAAAAATATGAGATTGCGCAAGTTTCTTCATTTTAATAAGAGCGTATTCATTCGCTTTCTGGTAGTGTTTGGAGTCAAAGTTATCGTTGTCTAGACGAATAAAGACGAGCACAACCATGTTTTCTTTGAAATTCGTTTGCTAAAATGCTAAATCGTTCAACGACTTCTATTACTTTTACTTTCGAGTTGGATTTATGAATTAGTCTTTTCAGTCAAGGGATTTGTAATGGTAGAATGTCTCGGCAAAAAGTTGTCACTTTCAAATTACTCTTCTTCAAGCCTTATTTTTGCTCAAATTAAAATTTTCAACTTAAAATTATGTTAGTTACAGTGGAAAGAGTACATACTGAGCCGATTATCTAAGCATTTGTAAATAGTCTTTTAGGTTTTTTGGTGCAAGGCTTACGCCCCGACCTATGACTTGGCTAATAAATAAGTTTGTTTTGAGACGCATCTCCAAGCTTTATAACAATTCGAGTATGTTATTTGCTTGAAAATTTTTGCGAGGAATCAACTTCAAGCCTCTACTCTTACATATCAGATATTCAAAATTCAACTCATCAATAAATGGCAATTATGCTATATGGCGGGGTTTCTGAATAATCACCTTTTTGCTTTTCGAGTTTCATTGTCATTCTGTAGTGATGCATAGACGAGTGCATTATCTGTTGGTGGAATGTAGACGACCTTTGGTTACATGTTAAATCACAATGGGAATTGTGAAAAGCTGCTTGTGGATTTATGCACCCAAAAAGGTGAGAATTTCCAGGTATTTGGGCGTGGAAGTCATATTTCTGGGCAGTCCAGATAACTTGAATTTGACCATCTATGGTAACGTAAATGGTTGAAAATCTGTTTGTTGTTTGAGTGCCAAATGTACAACTGTTTTGCGGGTTATGTTTTTTTCGAAAATGATGGAAAATCTGACTATTTTACTTTCCTATACGATTTCATGGTCAATATGATGATGTCGCTCTAATCAAGTTGACCATCTGACTCTCTTCACATTCACACACTAATTGATTTGTAACATTTTTGCAAACCGCAAGAAGGACCGAATTCATCTTTTAGCAAACCTAATATATTGAGCTTATGCTAGATTTTGCAGATAATAGTGGGAAATTTTCAGTGAGGAATACTGGTTGTCAAGTATGATTGGAAAAGCGATGTATGCTAATGTGCATTAACTGCTATTTCGAAAGCTGCTCTTCTTATCTATGAAATGATACCCGGAAATCAACATTTTTCTTATGATTTTGCTTGATTGAAGAAAGTCAACATTATCGACAAATTGTTTTTTCGGAGTTTCTGTCTACTAAATAGGGTTTAAGCCCTCTGAAACTGATGAGTGCTCAGACAATTGCATCGGAAAGTTCACGGCCTCAAAGCGTGTTACATGGCGCGTCGCGGCCTTTAAAATTTCAGCCGCACACGCCGCGGCCCATGTATATTGTGCCGGGAACGCCGCGGCCAAAGTTGAAATCGGGAAGAGATTACCGGGAAGGTCGCGACCCAACCACCTCACTCGGCGGGCCGCGGGCCCTATCAAAGGCCGCACTTCTTACACGCTGTAGTTCAAGGCGCAACCCTCGTGAGGTACGTCGCAGCGATAGGGCTACCCTAAGTGTTTATGAGGCTGGGGATCGCTTCTCGGATTTGGTCCTATCCAACAGAGTTGAGTTCTTATGCTGATGAAATAAACTTCAGCAGTCGGATGAGTAATATCGACGACATTAGATGATGTCGATAGATGAGCTAACAAGTTGCTCAGTGTGTTCAAGTCGTTGTCATGAAAGACACGCCAAAAGATTTTCTTTTCCTAAGCCTCACAAGCATGCTAATCGGGTCAACTATCGGGCGCTTACAGGGTGCACCGCGGTCACTTATCGGGTCCAATTTCGGTTTATTTCCAAGATACCTTAGCCCTTGCCATGATTCTGTGCTTGAGGTTACTCTCGAATTGTTTTTTGGAAAACACAGCCTCACATTCCAAGAAATTTGTCCTTCAAGTTTCCATTTAGTGCCTGTTCCGAACTTAATATAGTATAGCATACAAAGTAAATGCTATATTGATATTTGTTGCTTGGTTGCTCTGCTTGAACATAGTAGTGAATCTTGTCATGGAATTTACTTCGAGTATTTTTTATTTAATTTACTTCATTTTTTCATACACTAAGAGAGACAGCATAACTAGAATAAAATATAGCGAATGATTACAAATAAATAAATTTTTGTGAAGTAGGCTAATAAATAGTTTTAATCAAAATAAAATGAATATTATGTATTCTGTACATAATAGATCAAATAAATAATAGATCAAAGGCAAAAGAATTTTCGATAAACCTGTCCCAAAATCTTGTGGTACAATGCGACCAAAAGTGCGTTTAACAAACGTTTAACATGGTTTTTCTACAACTTTCACACCAATGGATTTATCTTATTACTGATAAGAGACTCCTAATCAGATTTACACTTCTAAAACCAAAGCTGACACTTGCCCCCTTTTTTCATGTTTATCTTTAGCAAAGAGCAAGTTTCGCCAGGTCGTCGTGTCTGACATGACAACTGAGTGGCATTTGCAGCTAGTTGTCATCTGTCATGATGGTTATGTGGTAATATGATCGAAGAGCCTCAGCTCTCTAAGCTGATTAGTGATTGTTGTAACATTCGTCTTGTTCAACTCGACATATGTTCTACATGCGAGTGACAGCCTCAGTTGTTTCTCATCATCATCATACTTTTACGGTAACAACACCGTTGAACCCATCTCGGATTTGTTTGAATCTCCAATCAGCGGTAGCCTTACATCGGGGAGCTCTGTGTAAATACCGCCATCACTGATTTACTTCACAGTTACAATCTCTAATTTGATTTCATTTTTTCTTGCCCTTTTTAATGTGCGCGCAAATAATCTCTTTAATCCGATTACCTTACAAACTACTGGTGTGGATGCCTACAGGCGTTTTGCGTGTCTCAGCAAATTCCACTCATTCAAAATTCTGTTCGTCAGATCGTACGAAGGACAGAACTGTTAACGTAATATAACAGTAAATCAACATTGCTAAGCTTAGAGTTAAGCGAATACTTTATTCTTCTATTATACCCGCAAACATTGGCTCACATTATTTCAGCTTCTGTCACCAAGAAACGGTGATTTGCAGTGCTTAGATCTGCAATATTGGTTACTGTAGGATCACGGTAACCTCACGTTCGTCACAGTAGTACAGGCCAAAAGCGACGCTTTTTACATATGTTTTCGGTGGTATCTTGTTCCATGTGTCGATTTCGTTCTTCTATCCAACTACTGCTATGTTGTAAACATTGAAGAAAAACCATCTGTCGAAACAAATATGGTGAAAATCTTATGTACAAGACGTACGTCATATAGGATAGTGTCTCAATTATTTTGAATATTCGAAATTGTTAGAAGTCCTCACCACATGCGCAAAGAGTTTACATCATTCATTGCCTGATAAATGCAATCACAAGATAAAATGAAAAATATAAATTGCTTGGCCGTGACTCACCGTACCACTGAATAAATGCGCACTATACAGCATCAATCATTGCCTTCCATTCATAAAGAATCTAGTGACGTCAATAACAAAACTGCGAGACTTCCACATTTGCTAGAACTTCAAACGTTACCAGACTGAAAAACCCATGTTTCGTTATTGCAGCAGAAAAAATCGTAGGGATTTCTCAAAACTTGCGGTTCCTCGCGTTTGTGATGCAGTATTTTGAGTATCTCAGAATAATCTGGGTGGACTATTTTGCGACAACAATAAGAGCATAGATTTTTGTGTGAATTGCTTAGAAGCGGGGTCATGGAATAGCAAACTTAGCGTATCATAGTTAGCTTAAAGGCAGCGTCCA